ATAAATTTTTAACCACCAAAAACCCCAAACCGGTACATTTGCGACAAATTTACCCTCTATTATATTAGATTAATATCACAAAAAATCACAAACTGATACACATGTGACAAACGGAAGGGTAAAACTCCAAACTAGTACACCTGTCAACTGCCACGTGTCTCCCAACTCAGAAATTTGACGATAAAATTTAACGGAAAGTGACGGACGGTAATATTATCACAGTTGTATCAGTTTAGGGTAAATTTGTTACAGGCATATCGGTTTGGAGTTTTTTATGATATTAGCATAAATTAATATTGATATTTTTCGAGAAAGAAAAAAAGAAGGGTGGGAAAAGGAAAATGGTTCTGTGTGGCACCGCCGGGGAGAGCGCGTGGGGGAGAGAGTCAGGGGGTGGGGGGGGAACATTTAAGGAGGAACCCGTTTTGTCCGGGTTAGGATGCAATAGACTCCTTGTGAAGTGAAAAGCCCTTTTTCAGCTATGCCTACCTATTTGCCTCCCCCACAACCCCCCACTTTTTTTTATATTTTTGCTTTTGGGTCCTTTGCAATTAATGGCTTTGATATAGACCCCCTCCCCCCTATTCCTTTGTTTTTTTCTTTTTTCCCTTTTCCTCCACTTTTTCAAAAAAATCAAAAAAACTAAAAAAATAAAATAAAGAAATGGGAATTCCTTTTTACCCCATTTCACCTTTGCCTGGCAACCCAGTCCCCACACACACACACACGCCCCCCCTCTCCCCACAATTCGTCATGTTTTGCGTCTTTTCCATTTCCAATTGGATGGAAAAGGGTAGGGGCGAGCACGGTCCGGTTCGATCTAATCTGATTTGGGTGAAATACTATAAATACGGAATCGAATTGAACTTAGTAAGGGTTTAGAATTGAACTGAATTTTTCGACTTGGCTGGTTTGAAACTGAACTGAATTTATCGCGTTTTTCTTCCCTTTTCTTATATAGTGCTCTTAATTCTAGTCCGGCGTTTAACTTCGTAGTACTTGAATTAGTCAAGGTCTCGAGCCAATAAAGATCGAGAGAAAGAAAAGCTAGAAAAGTAAACACTAATATTCGGTTCGATTAACGAATCGAATTTTCGAGATAGCCTCCCAAAACTAAACCGAACTAAGAATTTTGGGTCAATTCAATTTGGTTTGGTGGTTCGAGCCGAAATCATGCTCGGCCATAGGCAAAAGCAAACTCTCGTTCGTCCCCTATGAGAAAAAGAAAATTATCGTATTGCGCAACAAATGTATTTTGATTATTCCTTAATTTCGAAATACCCAGAACTGCACGATATACTTTTTTGTTTCTCAATCGGAGTTTACATGTATATTCACGTATAATTTTTTTTTTGAAATTTGGCAAACGTTTTAAACTTGGGCAGTAAAGTATTTTTTTTTTTTTTTACTTTTTCGGAAGCACAAACCAACAAGCCCTTATTCTTTTGGCGTATGTGTGCCGACCCGGGGTCGAGCTCCTTTTCCACAGGACCCCCCTACATTATTTTCACCGCAGTATAGGATTAACCGATGAGGCTTGTTGCATGCATAATTCATCGAAAAAGTACCGGAAAGGAGTGGGGTTGCAAACTCATGCTATCATAGGACACAAACCTCTCTAGACATTGTAGCTACCAAAATTAGCAGCTTCATTAGATGTCTCCTAACTTCAATTGACCAGCATAACATCAAGAACATGCCAAATCACAAAAAGGGCGCTTGAGAAGGCATAGAATCTCAATTCTTTTTCTTCTTTTTTTTTTTCCAAATGAAAAGAATCTCAACCCAATATTTGATGAATCCATGTGCGTTCTCGTTAGGTGATCATTCAATTGAATGGCCATATAATTGCTAAACCAGAATAGAAATCTGGTCGCCACTTTTCGGATTACTAAATGTGGGATCACACTGCTCCATTGCTTAAGCTGCTATTCAGAGCAAAACATTCATAACATCCAAGAGAGCAATTACATGCTGTACCCATCACACTGTATTGATATGGTAATGTATGTCAGAACTGAAGCCAATTCACTTTTTTCATGCTGATCTAAAAGGGCTGGTGAAATAAGAGGAAAAAGGCTTAGGGCTAGCAGTGAAAGTGGCCTACGGATGTGTTGGGGGACTAAAATTGGCTTTTTCATATATAAGAATTGATAAAAAAAAAAGAGGCAGATGACATGACTGGATGGGTCTGTGGAAAAATAAAGTTTTAAAAGATGGGTTTTGACAAAATAATAACCTAAACTTTTTTATTTGGGCATAAAGGGCAAGTTTAAGAAGACATAATAAAACAAGCAAAGTTAGGCTGAGTTTGTTTCGATAAAAATAAAAAAATTTTTTTTTAAAATGATAATTTATATCTTTTAAAATAATTAGTTAATGAAAAATATTTTCATCATCGGCAATAATTTATATCTAAATATTTTTATTATAATACGGATATTTTTAATTAATTTATTTTTTAAGCGATACAAGGGATCATTATAAAGAAAATTGAATCCAAATTATTCATTTTCTACGAAATAAACGAATCCTAACTTAGCATTTTGTTAGAGAACGAAAAAAATTTACTAAATAATCAATAAATTAGCAACTCTACCAAACAATTCCACTTACAAGATTTGGAGAGGCATCGAAAAGAAGGAAAAAAACAAGAGGAAAAACAGCATCATTAGTTTGCATTTGTCAAGGTTTATGAATTAGCCTTTTCATTATAGACACTGATGTTGTCTAATGACCAAAGTCACGACTCGTGTACTAAAGTTAGTTGGTGACTAGGAAAGGAAACATCATGGCTGTATGTACACATCGATGCAGCTTGAATCTAGGACACTGCTCCTCAAATTTGGGAGACCAACCGTACCTGAGCCTACAGCAATTGATACTCCACTAACCAGCTAGGGTTAAAAAGTTCACAGATTTTAAGGTTCATTCAATTGTAATCAACCATTGCCTTGTGAACTTAGTTCCTAAGTGTTGTCTAGGACGGTAGCAAGGGAGCTCGTGCGAATTGTACTGCGAATAGTAATAATCAAACAACAATTCCTTTAAGTTGGGCAACGTTAGGCTAATTAGAGAGGCTATCAGATGGTGTTAGTTCAACATTTGTAATGATCATGCGCAGTAACTAGGGGAAGCCCGGACATTTTGCCCCGCTTGTTGCATTAAGCTTAGCATAGAAAGAGAACCCGATCAGAGAACCCCATCCTAAATGTGACCATGAAATTAATGACTAGAATCTTTCTTAGTGGGGTCCGTATTTTTCTAGAGTTCGTTTGGCATAGCTACGATTGGGCTGTGTAGTGAAGCACTAAATTGATGCGTTTGGTTTTAAACTCCCTAAACAACTGTTGTAAGTTGTTACGGTGGCAAATGTGCTATAGCGATGAGACATTTATCATATACTTGGAAGTTGTGTTCCAATATTCATAACTGAAAATCTTCATAATTTTTAGCGAGATGTCACATATCCCAGAAAATACACTCAACTGATTGTGTTGAATATTAGAATTTCGACGCTAAATGATGCCGTTACACCAAAAGGCGAATTTTACGAGTTAATTTCAGTGTTGCATATACAACCATGAAACAATTTGCCTCCCTGTTTAATGTGCAGGTTCCTATATGCTCATTTCGTCATTCTAGAAGTCGGTTAGGAATTATTAGTCATATATTGTTCGGATCAAGTCAGGCAGGCTATCTTAGCCCAAGAACCATTCCATGTCCTCGTCGGATCATACCATTTTATTTAATCACTTATGTAGTCCTTTTTGAAAAAAAAATAAATCCAAAGTCATTTAAATCATTAAAAGACGACATAGATTTGACTATCTAATGATATTACAAAATTTTCTATTATGTTCAAATACTTGCGAGAGAAATTTTTAGGCACCCCGAACAAAGAATTTTGCAACTCGTACTCCCGACTCACTCCGAACCTTGAAGAGGCCCGATTCAATTCAGTTGAGAAACTTGATACGCCAAATTAGTCATCGTCTCCACCCGTTCCTTCCACTACCATCACTCGAGCCGGAGAGCAGCATGAGACCATGGAAGACATCTATCATCGGCTCGATCCTCATTAATGCAAACAACCTCTAAGAAAACGAGCCAGATGTTTCTCAATGACTAATAGATCTTGCCTTAGTATGCAACAAAATTCGCCAGGACGGATGAAACGAGAACAACCTTCCCCTTCCCCCATCCCCTTTCGCCACAATATCTTCAGAACCCCCCAAGTCCTGGTCTACATCCCGACGAAGATGGTTAATTTAATCCAGAAGAAGAAGAGTGTGGATACGAGTGAGATTTGAGGGCGTCGATGGGGACAGAAAAGACATCCCGCGCAAATACAGCGGGACCGTACAGCAAAACCCCACTGCAAAAGAACACTGAAAGTGAAACAGGCCATTCTCTTTTCAGTCTCCTTTGGTGTTTCTCACTACTGTAATACTACTTTTATATTTTTCCCAAAAGCTTCACGAGTAATACAAACCCCAAAAAGCAATAAAAAAAAACTGAAAATTGAAGTCGTCCTCTCCCTCACCCCCCGTCTCCCTCTCCTTCCTGCCACACATCGCTCAGCAGCTGCAGCTGCTGCTGTTGCAGGGGCCAGTGCTGCAACTCTGCTGGCAGATGAGAGAAAAAAGAGGCAAAAACAGCAGTCCACTACTCTCACCTCCTCGCATTACCCACCAAAAGGAAAAAGAGAGAGAGAGGAGAGAAAAGATACCCACGAGCTAAACTGTATTATAATTAGCGAGAAAGGATAAGCCCGTGAAAAGAAACAAAAAACCGCATTTTTAACCCCCCACCCCCCCCATTGAAAATCAAAAATCTTTGAAACCTTTGGTTCATTCTTGCCCTTTGGGGCCAAAAAATGATAATGGGATCTTGAAATTCATATCCCCCAAAAACCAAGAACTCCACCCTCCCCTTTTCACCCCCACTAAGGAAAAAAAAAACACTCCCAAAACCAAACCCACGAAAAGAAGCTAGAGAGAGAGAGAGAGAGAGAGAGACAGAGACAGAGACAGAGAGAGCTTGCCTTTTTATTTTCCCTTTCTTTCTAATTCTTGGCTCCTCTGCTTTTTGGCAAATGCAAAAGTTGTCCTTCAAATTGCGGTCATGACCACTCCTCCTCCTCCACCTCCACCTCCCTCCACACCACTCTCTCCCTCTAGCTCTCCTCCTCCTCCTCCTCCTCCTCCTCCTCTCTCACTCCCACTCTCGCTCCTCTTCTCGGCTCTCCCTCACCATATTCCCGGATTCCGCGGCGCAGTATTGCCGCTACCCCGACCGTTCTCGCCGTCCGCTCCATAGCAATCGGGAGCGAGAAATCGAGATGATCGATCTCAACACGGTGGAGGACGACGAAGCGCCGTCCTCCGGCTCCTCCCCTGCCTCTTCTCTGTCCTCCGCCATAAGCGCTTCGAATGTTAACTCCAACCCCCCCGCGAACCCCGCCTCCTCCTCCTCTTCTTCGTCTTCGTGCTCTCCCTTGTGTTTGGAGCTGTGGCATGCCTGCGCTGGGCCCCTCATCTCGCTCCCCAAGAAGGGCTCTCTGGTGGTTTACTTCCCGCAGGGGCACTTGGAGCACGTCTCTGATTTCCCCGCTTCCGTGTTTGATCTCCCTCCTCAAATTTTCTGTCGTGTTGTTGATGTCAAGCTCCATGTAAGAATTTCGGGCACTGTTCATGTTCTTGTCTTTGCTCGTTGCAGAGATTTTTAGTCTTTATTATGAAGTTTCGTCACGCGTGTTCAATTTTAGCTGTTTCGGTTATAATTGATTCGTGGGTTGTTACGTTTCTTCCATGGGGGGAAAAAAGAGCTCTGCTTTTTTATTCTCTTTTCTTGGTTTTTTCTTGGGGGGAGGGAATTTGATGTCGTGTGCATGTTTTTGTGTGACAGGCGGATGCGAGCACCGACGACGTTTATGCGCAGGTTTCGCTGATTCCTGAAAGAGAGGTGAGGTTTTGCTAATTTTGTCTACTTCTTTGGAGTCTCAGATGCTGACGGTATTCACCAGAAAAGATAAGGGAACGTGACCCTGTTGTGATCTTGAATATCGACCCGTGTACTCTGTGGAGTTTTATTGAGTTTTTCGAATTTGGCTTGGTTGAGTAGTGTGCCGGATAAGGGTCTTATGTTGATGGAATATAACCTCGGCTGCATTGTGTTCTGTGCAGCAAATTGAGCATAAATTGCGCGAAGGGGACAACGAAATAGACTTGGATGAGGATGAGATTGAACCGGCTGTGAAGTCTTCGACACCTCACATGTTCTGCAAGACTTTGACTGCTTCAGACACAAGCACTCATGGCGGGTTCTCTGTTCCTCGGCGAGCTGCTGAGGACTGCTTCCCTCCACTGGTATTGCATTTCAGTTTAGCCTCTTGCATCGAGACGGCCTTATTGTTTTACGCTTACATCCGGCTAATGCCTTTTCGTCGGGTGGGGTTTAATTTATCTAGCTTGCTTAGACTTAGTGCTCTGTGAATGCAGGATTATAATCAACAAAGGCCTTCTCAGGAGCTTGTAGCTAAAGATCTGCATGGCCTGGAATGGAGATTCAGACATATATACCGGGGTATCATATCAGAGTCCTCATCTTCCTTTTGCTTCTCTTGGCATTGATTAGATCTTATGGTGTGGTTGTCATGGAAGTTTCTTTTTTTCAAGTAGTTCTTTTATTGTGTGCGTATGTGTGAGCAGGACAGCCACGCAGGCATTTGCTCACCACAGGATGGAGTGCATTTGTAAACCGGAAGAAGCTAGTCTCCGGGGATGCCGTGCTCTTCCTTAGGTATTTAACCACTGTGCTGCAATTTGTCGACTTTGATTAGGATATTGAAATTCATGTACTTTAATAAAACCCAGGGCTTCGAACGGAGAATTGAGATTGGGAGTTCGAAGGGCTATTCAAGTTAAAGGAGCTTCTACTTTTCCATCACTTTGCATCCAGACCCGGAATCAGAGTGCCCTCATGGATGTACCAAAGGCTGTATCTCTTGGAAGTGCCTTCAATGTTTACTATGATCCAAGGTACTTGTCTGGACTGTGCTCATCAATCTCTCGATACAGTGAGGCCACTTGTACGAATAAAAGCTAGCTTAGACTGTAGTTTTATTCATCTTGTAGCTTTGCATTTTGGTGCTAAAATAGCCCAGACAACTAGTTGAACCTTTTACTCATGCGTGTTTGAAACTGGATTTGGTCAACTTTTACCGACGATCGTGTCTCTCTTCGTCACATGATGCGAAGAAGTCTTGCTATATTTTTTTCTCTTCTGAAATTTTCGTGTCATAGCACTTGCAAGCGATCAGCCAGTGGTCCTGATAATGATTTTAGAGGTCTTAATTGGTGAAACAGCTATACATTCTTTGAAAGCGAGGAGTTAATAAACTTCCTGAATGATCAAGCTAAGTTATCTTGTGATAATTAATGTGTGCTCAATTTAGGACGACTCTTGTGTTTTTGCTCGATCATTCCTGCCATCATCCGCTAGTTCCTTTTCTCCTTGCGCTGATAATTAGCACTCATGCTTGCGTTGATACATACTGCACAGTACATAGGTAAAACTGTTAGAGCTACTTGTTTTGGACAATTCCTCGGTTGCTGTTCTTTATGAGGTTTAGCTACCCATGTTTTGCTGGATAAGACAAAATCTTATGTGACTAGCAACATTTTCTGGAATTGTTATTTGAATTGCTCAAGTTGTTCCATGCGTACTTGGCTAGGGGTGGCTGTAATAGCACGTGCTGAGTTGCCATGCTCAAAGTGGCGATTTTTTTCCAATTCGTCATTGATTAAATAGCATAAATTTTTTTCAGTATCAAGGGAAACTTTATGATGATAAAGCATGGGTTTAAAACATGCCTAAGGTGTGTAGGTTTTGAATTAATTGTGATTTTATTGTATCAAACAAGGATTTGAGTAATGTTTCTCGAATTTGTCATGTCAGGAATTACCTCTGTTATATACATTAGAGTTGAGGTTAAGCTTGCTTGAAAATTTCTGAGATTTCACTGGACCGATATCTTGCTGTTTTTGTTCTATCCATGTACCTCAGGCAGGTCTTAAACGCTTGGAAGCACGGATTAATAATTTGTGACGTTCAACCTTGACTAGTTTACTCAGAATACTGCTACTGCGCTTAACTATGTCAAATCCGGATCTTTCATTTACTAATGGTGATTCTTTTGGGCTATTTTAATTGCTCTATTACCATGTCATCTTAGTTCTTCTGTGGAAGATTCCCATTTTCCATTATCAAATAAATAAGTAGTGCTTAGTGATGTAAGTGCTATATTCCACGGTATATATTGCGATGACCGGGTGCTTTACCCAGGTTGTCATTTGTTGTTCAATAGTAAATGCTATGTGCTGCTTATGCTGGTTCATTTTCCAAACTAGTGGATTGCTTTGCCTATGATCCTATTCGGTTTGCTTTTGATATTATGGTCCTTTACAACTTGAGCTAATGTCTGTATGAACTGGTAGGTCCAATTGCAGGGGGATGTTGCCATTCTCATGTTTTTGATGATGGATAGACTGTCTAGTTCTTGTTCACGCAGTGATTTCTCTTTGATATGTGCATCATTGATTTTGCAGAGCCAGCTCATCTGGGTTCCTAATACCAGCTCGTAGGTTTTTCAAGAGCCTTAACCATTCTCTTGCCCCTGGCATGAGGTTTAAGATGCGTTTTGAAGCCGAGGATATGGCAGAGAGAAGGTTCAATTCTTTGGCTCGCATACTGTTTGTATAGGGGAATGCTTTTGCAGCCTTCCTTATATAAATTCTTTCCATGGCAGACATTCAGGTCTGATAGCCAACATAAGTGATATGGATCCTGTTAGATGGCCGAGTTCGAAATGGAGGTGCCTGTCGGTGAGTTCATGTTTTCAAGCTTGTTTACATGTCTATTTGGCAATGAAATATAGGTCTGAGCCCTTATATTGCATCTAGCTTTTTCCCTTGAACAAAAAAAAATAATGGTAATTACGCATCTACCCTATTGCACACCATCTTATACAAGTGGAGTGTGTTATTTGACTTGGAGGGTTCAAATAGATTTGTGGCTTAATAAAGAAAGCCTATGTGATGTTCTACGGACAATTTGTAATGAATGCCCTTACCTTTGGGAACATTTTTGTGGTAGTACAAGTGCTGATAATGATGCCTGAAAAAAGTAGTGGAAAGGATCTTCATTTTTTTGTTTGATTAGAGTCTACAGCAATCCCATCCTGTCTTTGCTGTTTTCGGTGGAAAGATGCGTCCATGCCTGCACTCGTACATTGGACTGTTTATGTTAACTCGAGAACTATATAGCTAATAAAAGTTGAGAACTTAACTCATGTTTGAATATATCCTGTAAATTCTCTCTTACACATACGTCTGATAATTTACTGTTATTTCTGGTGAACCTTTCTGTGGTAGGGACAACTTTGGGACAAGTTAATATTTGTTACTTGCCATAAAGTAGGTAAAAGAAAACACTGAGAATTTAGTTGTATGTGTTTTTCACTTGAAACTTTATGGAAAGGTGTTTGTCTCGCATTTTGTTTCATAAACTGTACTTTTATTGCTCGTGGTTGTTACTGAATTCAAATAGATCTGTTCCTGATAGTTAGTTACTTGCATTATTTGTTTTTCATTGCCAAAAAAAAGCTGTTTCTAAGCGCTTGCCGTGTGTTTCAATAACTTATCATTGAGAATGAAAGGAGAAGAGTATAATCCTCTGAAACCAAACCAGCCTGACTAATCAATTCTCTTTCAGGAATTAATATCATACAATAATCAAAATCGTCAGATGCGTGATATTGAAGTTAGTTGGTTCTTCTTAATTTGCAGGTTAGGTGGGATGACGTTGAGCCTGATCGTGGTAGTAGGATTTGTCCATGGGAAATTGAGCCATCTGGTTCAGTTTCCAGTCCAGTTGGTTTTATGATGCCCGGTTCTAAGCGGACCAGGTTCGGAATACCTTCCATGAAACCAGAATATCCGGTTCCAAGTAGGTTTTGTGCTCTGAACATTTTGCTTGAGACATTCTCTCTTTTCTGCTTGACTTTACACTACTGAACTGTGTTGAATCTGACAGATGGGATTGGAGCATCAGACTTTGGGGAATCTTTCAGGTTCCAGAAGGTCTTGCAAGGTCAAGAAAACTTGGGTTTTAGCACTCCGTATGATGGTATTGAAACTCAAAGTCATCGGCTCTCTGAAGTGAGGAGGCATCATCCTGATGATTCGGGTGGTTCTGAAGCTGCTGCTGCCAGAAATGGCATCACAAACCCATCCGTGAATGCTAGTGTCACTTACAAAGGCATGGGCTTCTGCGAATCTTTTCGGTTTCGTGAGGTCTTGCAAGGTCAAGAAACATTTGCCAACCCGCCATATACAAGGCCCTGGTTTACCAATGGAGCCCAAGGAAATGGTGCATTTGGTGGTCGTGATGGCTTTCAATTGGTTCCTTCTAGGAATGGTTGCTCTGCCCTGAATCAGGGTTCGGACAATCGTTTCAGTCTTCCAGTTTCCTCCGTACAAGTTTCTTCACCATCTTCAGTATTAATGTTCCACCAATCGAGCAGGAAAAGCTCCAACAGGAGTTCTCTTTGTAATACATTGTCATTGGATGATAAGTTCTCTTCGCCATTGAAGGCGAGTTTTGGTGGCACGAGGTCGCTGGGTTTGTTGAATGAACAAAGTAGATTGAGTTTCCCTCATTCTTCCATTTTGCTGCCGTCGGAGGGCATAGTTAGTGAGGACATGGCCCCGCCTTTGAAGAGTAGTTGCCGACTCTTTGGTATATCATTGACCGAAGGAAGAGATGTTTCTCACAAAGAAGCTAACATGAGCTCGTCCAGGTTGAATGGCGAAGCCCTTTTTGTTGGTCATATTGGAGAGAACTTCCATCCAAAGGCCAATGTGAGCAGGGTGGTTGGGAGCAATTGCACAAGAGTTCTCGACCTGCATCCTGTGAGTGATGTGCTCTTTGATGTCGCATCCTAGAGACTATGGTATATTGGGAAAAAAACCCCAGAAAATTGTGTATTCAGAAGTAGGGAAGGTAGTGGAAATTGACCTCTTCAGCTTGCATTTCTTTTGGCTGATTTAATATGGTGAAGCCATGCTATCATGTGAGTGGAGATTATCTGTCTATGTGAATTTGAAGTTTGTGAATCGCAGCAAGTGCAAAACCAACGTGGTGTATGGGGGTACCGTCTTATGTGATTTTGAAGATGCTTGCATTTGTCAAGAATGGCTTAGATTGAAGGTCCCCAAGTCTTGTGATTCCATCTGGACAGCTTTTGTTTCCGGGCAAGTACTTTATTGTGGTTTTGAGCTCTTTTTATGAGGCAATCTTTTGGGTAGGCATTATGAAAATTGGAGGTAGAGAAGCGGGCGATCTACTCCGAAGTCTCCTTTTAAGTGAAATTGCCTTGATGACCTTGCACTTTGTCAAGCTAGAATTCGTGTATATTGTCCTCTCTTTTCAGCTCTTTTGTACTGTTTTTATTTGTGATAAAAAAGAGAAAAGAACTCGAAGAGGGTCATTTTAGTTGATGATGTGCTGTTGATGCTTGAGATTGCTGAAGCTGAAGCAGTATGTGGTGAGATGTTCAGCCTGGTCTAATCAGTAGCTCTCAGGATTCAGGAAGTGTAAATTATTCTGTTGATGTATTTTGACTTCGATCTCGTGTCTGCTCTAAGGGGAATTGAAGGCATGTACTTGTTTGTATGACCTGTTATTGAACCTTTTGGAAAGACGATCTCTGTTCGACTTCATTCAAGTATGTGAACAGTCGTGATTTTTCTACAAAGGTTGATCATGTGGTGGCTGCATCTTCTGAAGAGTTCTGATATCTTGATGCCTCTTGTAAATATGTTCGCTGTTGCAAAACACGTACTGCCTTGTCGAGTGGCACGAGCATATAACAAACTTTGATGCATGCTTATTGCAAGCACTTAATGCATCTATTCTTGAACTGCCAGTTCTGAGTTCGTGACAATGTTAAAGCCACCTATCTCACCGGTTCTTCTTGTTAGGCCAGATCATGTCGAAGTCGATTGTCATTTTATTCATGAGAAGGTTGCTCACAAGGCTGTCGGTGGGCGGTTTTGTTTATCAGCTGGCAGGCGTGATGGCGAAAGAGTGTTGAAAAATGTATATACGTACACACCGCAAAGGGGGGTTCAAAACCTTCAACTATTTCTACCCAATAACGACTTTTTCCCCTCCAAAACAGTAAATTCTTAGAAACAGTTGGAGACACCAACTCTGATAAATCTCTCAACAGAAAGAGGGGCTTCATCACCCATTTCATGGCAAAGAAATTTCACTCCACTTCCCATGAACTTTCTCACTCAGCCGTTTATGGTCCTAATGCGATTGAACGATGTACAGCCGATCGTGACTCTTGTTTCGCTTACACAGCTGTTTTCGTCGCACTTTTTCGTGGTCCTGGCACGTTCCTTTCTTTACTCTGTGGTTCTTAGCTGGGCCATTCCCGTCTGTTCTCCCCATGTCCCTGGATCTGTGATTACTGATGTGGGTCAATGTCCATCAGTTCAACAGAGTAAACTACAATCTTTAGTTTTCGGCGAAGTTGAGGAAACTTCCTCTTGTCTTCGACTTGAATTCAGTCAAGCGATGATGTCGAAGGTGCGAAGATAGGAAGCTTCCTCGACGATGGTATCGACTATCAAGTGTAAGGGCTAATGAAAACGACATGATAGTTGTATAACATAACGTGAATGATGATCGAACCTTGGATTGTACGCGTGAGGTCCACTTGACCTTCGATTGATATGGATGTTATACTTGTCTTCCTTTTGCTCTCCATTAGTTTGGCAAGTTCTTTGATGGAGAGAGATCATGTCGAACGTACATAAATTCGTCGATGATGATGGGTTTCATCCAAATGCTCCAAGGATTCTCGATCATTGATGCAGAGATGTGTCGTTTAATGAAAGGGTGATGAGACCAAACGTACCTGAACTTTTGCACTCTTTACATTCGAAGTTCCTAAACTTCTTTTTTGTTCAATCAAGTACCTCAAATTTTCAGATTTGGCTCAATGTGAGACCTCCATTTAAATAAATTGCCATGTCATGTGATTTTGCCGGCCTGGCTGGCTTACTCGGCAAAACCTAAGCACAATTGATGATGTGGCTCTTTTACTTAGGATAAATTGTGCCAACTCCAATTAGGCGTTAGGTGATTTGGGCGGGGCCGCGCGGGGCGGCTGACTTGGACAATTTTAGCTGTCCAATATGTCTTTGTTGATGTGGGATTATTTTAAGAGGCCACATTTGATGAGGAAAATTACCAAAACAGTCTTAAACCTATTGTAATTGTGTCAATTCAGTCGTAAATCTTTTTTTTGTGCCTATTTAGTTTTAAATCTTTTGCATTTGTGTCAATTCAGTTTATCCGGCCAATTTTGGTTGGCTGGCGCTGACGTGGCAATTTTTTAATATTATTTTTAAATTTTAACTTTTTTTCCTTTCTCTTTTTTTTTTCTCCTTTCCTTCTTACCCCTAGCTGGTGACCGGACAGGCTAGGGGATAGGACCTCGTCGGCACTAGCTCGCCTTCGCCGGCACTGGTGAGGGCGAGGTCAAGCTCGCCCAGCGACGGCGAAGGCGGAGCTCGCCATGGCTGGGCGAGCTGGACCTCGCCCACAGCCATGGCGAGGCTCAGATCTGGGCGAGGTAGAGCTCACCCTTGCCCGTACTAGCAAGGGCGAGCCTCCCTAGTGGCTGGTGAGGTTGACCTCGCCCGCGATGCGTCTAATTATGATAGTGGAAATAAGAGAAAATAGAAGGTGCGATGTGCTTTTGAAGAACCTAAACTGCAGATACGATTGTTTGCAAATGTGTCTGGTTTAACCCAATGCGTCACTTCCGACGAATTATGTTTTGTGTTCATGTAGGTCAGGGAGCGAAGCTTCGTAGTTTGCCGTGATAGGAATCTGTGACGCGTCAGGTGACGCATTTGCTCTCTAAAGATGTCAAAAGCTTCACTGTTGGGTGGACCGACCGATCGAGCTTTTCACCATCCTCCAACCTGTCAATCTTTGAATTTCATCGTATCTTTTGCTTGAGCCTTCCCTTCTTCTTCCCTTCTTCTCCCAACTCTCTCTCTCTCTCTCTCTCTCTCTCTCTCTCTCTCAATTCCTTGCTAGTATAAATTTGAAGATGGATGGAACCACTTAGTACTATGGTACACTTGGTGTTAGTTGTATCGGATTTGATATTGCTGATGGTAAAGCCGAGTCGGACTTTCGTAATTAGATCAAGCTCAACTAGCCGAGCCTAAATTCTAGTCGAGCTCCAGTCTAATGAAAGACTCAAGCGTCTTGTTGATTTAGGCTCGAGTGAGCTAGACGAGTATCGTGTCAAGTTGCGCCCGAGTTCCAACTTGCCGATACTCAGCTCAACAAGCTTGCGAACCTAACTGAACTTCTAATTGATATTAAGAAATAATAATCATTATGAAGTGGACGCATAAATTTCTAAGTTTACGTGACATATCAACATATACACGGACGTAAGGAAGAAGGTTCAGGCTTATAAAGCTCGAGCTCGAGTTCTTTCTTCAAGTTGAGCTCAAGCAGAAAATTTGATACGCAATCAACTTAGAATCGAGGTTCGGATGCTAGATATGTAAGTTGAGTCGAGCTTGAGCATGGTTCCATATCAGCTCGATTACAACCCAATTAAATGAGAAATTCCTAAATCTTTCAGTGTGTGCACTCCAACATATGGTATGGGGTCCATCCAATGGCACTTTGGGAAAGTTTCAATCGATCAGTAATGATAAACTAAATAAACGGAATTTCATAGCAATCGACATAATATCTTATTATAACTCATATTAAAATTAATGTTAGAGACACAAAAGAAAATCCAATTCTTGGGTCAAACAAAAACAAAGAATTCCAATTGTTTTCTGGGTCTGGATCACCTCGCCAACGTCGGCCGGAGAGCGACTCGAAAGCGATGTCCACGTCAGCTCGTCTCGTTGATTCCGCCATGCAATAGGTCATCCCCACGTAAGCAAATGAACAGAAGAAATCGAGGGACAAGCTCGCATACGTGGCTGAAAACGACCGGCCAAGATGTCGAGTGGGAGATTAGGGTTTGATGTCGGGATAATGTTTTGTCCGTTTGCTTTTGTTTATTCGGTTGTTGGGAAAGTGATAGCGCCGTCCAAACGAGAAAAATGAGTTCTAGACTTCTAGTGAAAGGAACAAGGCACGTCGAGGATATCATTAATTAAATTATCATCAAGTATAAGAGATTGTATGGGAAGATAACGTACGATAAACTTAGTAATACCACATTTGGCATATCATGTTACATTGCCCCTTATTCGAACCATTTGGCCTAGCATGGAGAATTGTCATTCACTATTTTCGAGTTCGAAAGTCGTGCTGGATGTGATGATGATTTATTGAATAACACGAATACGGTATCATCATATCGTATTTTATAACTCTTATACGAAAAGTTCTAGAGTTCAATCTTAATATGTCCATATTTCGGAGAAATGATATAGTGAAATTTTTGTTATTATGGCCCATAATAGTATGATGACATCGGAAGTCAATTTTAGGTCTAAAATCTAAAACTCAACCTCCGTAGAGAGAGAGAGAGAGAGAGAGAGAGAGAGAGAGAGAGAGAGAGAGAGTTGGTGGTGGCACAACCATATGCAATGGTGACAAGTGGTCGGTGACGGCGGTATACGACGACTCCGATTGCTGTGGCTTGGTGGCTGCTCAAAGAATTGGGGGAATGAGAGAGGTAGAGTAGGTTAGGGTTTCATGGAAGAAAGAGTGTAATCTTCGGATGTATTGGAAAAATCTTGGACACAATTGTCATGTGGCTATTCCTCAATGGAGCAGTTATGTATAATTGTTCTCATTACCCTTTATATCAATAAGTGGTCCAACGATTTTGATCCCTCGTATGGTAACATCAGGATTATCAGTATAAGCGATAGGACTAAGATTCAGAGCCAAAAATAACTTTTTTTTGGTTTAGTCGATGGGCGATTTATAGTACACCTTTCAAGTTGGTAATTACATGCGGTAGAATTATCGTATTTTGATTCCAGAAAAGCTTTATTTATAAACGATGGAGAAATTAAATTTATTGTACTCGTGCCATTATAGTCCAAAATATTTTAATTTGGCCAATTTAGTCCTAAACTTTTTGACGATTTGCAAATTTAATCATAAACATTTCAATTGTGCCAATTTGGTCATAAACTTTTCAATGATTTGCCAATCTAGTTATAAACCTTTTAACGATTTGCTAATTTAGTCATTCTGGCCAATTTTGGTAAAAAATGCTGACGTGGTGATCTAGTCAGCGTTGGCCATATTCCTACATGGTATAGTCGGTGCTTATGTGGATATTTGTTTTTGCAATTTTTTTTAATTCTTTTCCTTTTTTTTTCCAAACTTTTGGCTGGCAAGGTTGCCGGCCATGGGCACGGAGGCTCTCGCTTGGATCTTAACGAGGGCCCTACACCCTGAGGTTCAGCCGGTGACCTCGCCAGCCAAGAGTTGAAAAAAAAAAGGAAAAAGAAAAAGTAAAAAATTAAAAATTTAAAAAATTGTCAATGTCAGCACCAATTGGGCCACGTAGGACGGCCGGCGCAGACTAGACTGCCACGTCAACGTTTTCCGACCAAAATTTGGCTCAAAGGATTAAATTGGCAAATCGCTAAAAGGTTTAAACTAAATTAGCAAATCGTCAAATTGTTGAAGCTTAAATTGACATAATTGAAAAATTTATGATTAAATTGGCAAATTGCAAACGGGTTAAGACTAAATTGATCAAATTGAAAAGTTTAGGACTCAAATGACACAAGTATAGTAGGTTTATGATTTTTTTTTTGTAATTTCCCCTATGAAAAATGGGTTTTGCTATCAAACCCGTTTAGAGTGATAACTGAGAAACTGTTTGAATTAAGACGCCAGTAATCACTACATTCAAATCAAACAATTCATCATACTTTTAGTCGATGATAGAACTATAAGAGACATCCAAACAAGACAATTTAAGGGTATGATCAAAAGGGTACTCTCTTTTTCTAAATTTGGTTTTGCATCGAAGTTTCCTTTCTTTGTCCCATTCATTGACTTGCCTCGAAGTGTACGACTTACGGGCACGAGAAAAACAGGGGTTTGTAACATACGTAATTGCATATGCAAGAACACTTTTTAACCACGTAGGAGTTTTTTTTTAACCACGTAGGAGTTGTTATCATCACAAAGCTGTCTTTTCAAAGCAAAACCCAAATCCAAAAAATGGGTGACGTAAGACAACACGTAGTGCCCCGACTCTATCCGTGAAGTTTCCACCATTGCAGCCCACTATATCCTTGGGTTGACAATGAAGTCATAATTTGATTATTTATATATGAATGTATGTATGCATTGATGTCAACTTTGGTGGCACAGTCACCCTATCTTGAAAATTGGATATCATGCTTTCCTAGATACAAAAGAGAGGGATAATTAAAAAAATTATGGTTAAGTTTATATCTAAGAAAAAGAGAGATTCTTTTAGATTTTTCTTTGATAATCCATGAATATGAGATGCAAGTCTTATGACCCAGTTAAGTTCGAATCTGCATACAATTAGCAATATTCCAATGGGTGACCTCCAACTCCTAAACTAGAATTTTCACAGTTGCAAAATTTATGGATTTGATATTCCAATGGGTGACCTCCAACTGCTAAACTGGAATTTTCACAGTTGCAAAATTTATGGATTTGATAGCAAATGGTGTTAGCAATGGCTAAGGCTCATCGTCGCAAGCGACAACTGCAATGAGTGGAGGTGGCAGTGTTAAGTTTGGTAATGATATATAGTGATAAAGGCGTTTAGGGGAGGAGGAGGATAAAAAAAGTTGTCAGCCAAAGGGATCAATTTATATTGTGAATATCTGTCAAATAAGGGGGAAAGAATAAAAAAAGTTCTAAATCAATTGCATTTGAATCAATTCGGTCATAAACCTTTCAATTGAATCAATTTAGTCATAAACTTTTTGTATTATTGCCAATTGAGTCTATTCGATCAATTTTGACCGAAAATCGCGAACGTGGATGTTAGTTGTTCCATGTGGTGCGGCCGGCGTCTTCTATTCTTCTCTTTATAATTTTTTTGTTTTTTGTTGTTTTCTTTCTTATTTTTCCCTTCCATTTATTATCGGTGACCCTCACCCAGGACCACGCTAGATTTGGGTGAGGGTCACCTTGCTTAGAGCAAGCGGGGTCGCGAAGGCCCTAGGCGAGACCATTGTGGCGATGGCCTTGCCGGTCGCAGACGAGGTGGCCCTCGCTTAGATCTAGGTGAGGCCTTTGTGGCCTCGTTCACAGGGCCGTGAAGGCCTTGGGGGAGGGCCGTGCCCTCACCGGCAGTCGACAAGGTCTTTCTAGCCCTCCTAGTGGCCGACAACCGGCCAAAATGAAAGGAAATAAAAGTAAGAAAAAAATGATTCAAAATTCAAATTTTCTTAAAAAATTATTAAGAATTGCTCACGTCCCGATCGTGCCATGTAGGACGACTAGCGTTTACATTAGCGATTTCCGGCTATAATTGGCCGGTTTGACTCAATTGGTACAAATGGACAAGGTTTAGGACAAAAATTTGTCCAAATTAAATGTTTGTGACTAAATAGGTACAAACACAATTGGTTTAGGACTTTTTTGGTACTTTCCCCTCAAATAAGAGTATCCTAATCCAAAATTGAAAATCAACCTTCAAGCTTCACACATTGAGGATGCTTATGCATGCAATCCTCCATGGGACTTCATTTGTGTCGAAATTACTATTGAGTATTCCATATCGCTTAACAACGGGTCCGATATGCTCTTTATATACATGTTGCTTCATATAAAAGCTTATACTTTTGGAGTGGGCTTTCTAATAGAGTACTAGAGTTAGGTGCTATCCTTTTTGCGTGTCTGCCATCGTTCATCAAATTCCACGCATCACTTGTAATCCGGCTAATTTTTATATGCTCTTTGGGTGGGATTGTCCAACTATTGCAATAATGCAATGAGAAGGGTCACTTGGAATGCTTTCAATTACTTAACGCCACTTAAAGTGACCCATATAATGGCACAACACTTCGAATAATATCTCAAGCGATTGACGTACATCTAAAGATGATGATGGGTCATGATCTCGACATGGATAAATTTCCTCAAGGGCCATTAATGGAAGAGATATTCACCAAAATGGTGAAAGAGAAACCCTAAGTCCTTGAATATAATTGAGTTGTCTATTATATATCTCTCATAAATCCATACTTGAAACTTTAGATCAAGACTAAAATGTGAGAAATACTAGACTTACTAACAAGACTCTCAAAACATACTTGTCCATCGATAAAAAAATAAAATAAAATCGAAACACAAGTTTTCAAGGCTAAAAAATCAATCGAACAAGATACTGTGCCCATGCTTGGGTTAGGAAATTGCCGGAAACTTCACATGGTTTTGGCCCTTTCCCTAATAGCCGTGTATGCCGAGACATGACACGAGTTGGTGGTGGGCAACAGGCGACGCCGTCGTGATCAAGTGGGACTTTGGGACGTAGCTGCTGCTTTGGAATCTCATCCATCCCTTCCTCCCGCACCGCCACGTCACCACAGTGCTCGTGACGTAGCAGAGTGCGTCACCGCCGTTGACGTTGGAGTCTCCCCCTCCTCCCCCCTCTTAAATTGCCTCCCCCTCCCAAGGCCAAAAGCAAAACAAACCGCCCCTCAGATCTCTCCCCTTTCCCTCATGCAAAAAGCGATCCCCCGCATGGCTTACATACCGGCAAGCTCCGGCGGCCCCCGGCCACCGGCGGTCGAGGGTCAAGCAGTGCCGGAAGGGATGGCCGCCACTACGGCGGCGGCGGAGGGCGGCAGCGGCGTCGGGAGGGCGGTGGCAGAGAATGCGGTGATTGTGATCGGGCGGCGCGGGTGTTGCATGTGCCACGTGGCGGAGAGGCTCTTGCTGGGGCTCGGGGTGAACCCTGCGGTGTACGAGGTCGACGACGTGGACGAGGGTGTCGTGGTCAAGGAGCTGATGAGCATGATCAGGATCGACGGCAAGGACGGCAAGGGCAGCGAGGGCGGCGATAACGACCAGAAGTTGCAGTTTCCGGCGGTCTTCATCGGCGGGAGGTTGTTCGGAGGGCTCGAGAAGGTGATGGCCACTCATATCTCCGGCGAGCTGGTGCCCATCTTGAGAGAAGCTGGGGCCTTATGGCTTTGAAGCATATTTGTACATACTACTAATCTCATCTTTCTAGAAAAGTTTCTTGATCGATGAATTTGAATTTATGATTGGTGTGAAATAAGACCACATAAGTATTTGTCCTCTTTTTTCAGTTGTTTTGATATCATTCTGTGTAGATCTAACTAGGTTTCGCTCGGGAATTTTTGGAGAGAGGGACCTAGGAATTAATTTGTTTTTGGCCCCCCTTTTTTTGCGTAATTTGTCAATGTAATTTTCTTTTCCAATTAATTTCGCTTTCGATCTGTCCAAGGTCGGTACGTGTTGCTTGAAATTACGCAGGTAATTGCGTACGGCTGAAGAGATTTTCTAGGGTAATGTCTTGTTAGATTCAACCGAAGTGGGGGCTTGACTTAGTCTACAATTTATCAAGGAAAATATTTTTTTATAAATAGAACAGAAGCACATCTTTGTCGTCATGAATGAAGATCCAATAATGAAGATGATGATTTTTCAATAGTAGGGTCAATGCAATTTGGGCCCAAAAAAAAAAGAAAAGAAAAATCAATGCATAATTGGACCAAACAATGAGGGCCAACAGGAGAAACTTTCATCTTTTTTACACCCTTCCACCAAAAATAAAAGCATGACATGTCAAGCATAATGAAATTCCTTGGTCTCTTCCTCATAAATGAAACCGAGGCTCGTTAATTGATTTGGATGGATAAAAATGTCATATTTTTTGTGCATCTGAAAAGTAAAATCTATCGATTAGTGGCCACACCTGACATGGCTGTGCCCACAAAACATATTAGAATGAGAAATTCTTAAGAGTACATGATTGTCACTCACCACTATGGAATAATGTTAAGGTAATTGTTGAACATACTAATAATAGATGTTTGAGTTCTAAACTATTGATTAAATATATAGCACGAGAAATGTCAGTGTATTGAAAATCGTAAATTATTGTTATTAGGTAATTATTGTTATTAGGTTGCTTAATGAATGCTCGAGGATACCCTAATTATTAAAAAAACTATTAAAAGTTCGGTAGAGGTACCGTTTGTCTTTTTGCCTTGGCCATGTTAAAATGAACATGTAACTCCGATAGCATTGATTGAGGAGTTAAATATTTGATTTGTGTATGACATATTTCGCATTAAAATCATGGTGTCTCCTACTTGAAATAATGTCAAGAGCAATGCTTGACATCATGATGGGTGGGTTCTTCGCCAAATACGCATGGATCTTGGCGATTTTCATGTATTGGCGTGGATTAATCAATGCAAAATATTTGAGTGCCCCATGTTATTTAAAACCGGCAACATTATCAAACGGTACAGCACGAGGACTAATACGGTGATAGATTTGATGTACATAGTTATATATTGTTGGTATCATGTGGGCTCCGAGCACACTTTTATCGTAAGTTTATTTCTCTTGAGGGCACATACATGATGTGCGAGATAAAAAAAAAATCTACATTAGATGTGCCGAGTAACAAAAAAAATACAACTGATACGCAAAGTTGGCTTCTAAACCAACGACTTAAGTACAAAACTTTGGTCTCCCCCTCGACTATTTCAATGATGAGGGTGTTGGGATTTCCTCGACGCTTCTCCATCAATTTCTTCTCCAATTTTGGCAAAGCTGATGCCGCCTACAACCAACTGGTGACCCCTCGAAATTGTCCTTGCAATTTCATGCCACTTACAAGGTTACAAAAGTCAAGACGCAATCAAGACTTTTGTTTTCAGCCTTCTATCTCCACCGAATGTGCTAAAGTAGGCAATGCTAGAGAATAATCATTAATGCTTTAGCTGGTCCGCACGCAATAACCTTGACCCAGAAACGTAATCCCCGAAATCATGTCGGTCAAGCCACTTCGACAGCTTTAGCGTATAAAACTGCGATTAAGTTAGTCCAACCCGGAATTGCAGGTACAAATAAAGGGGGCGGCAGTGGAAGGCAAATTAATAGGTTATTATTCAAACATTCCGGACAAAGGGCCGAACCACTAAGGTATGTTGACCTTTAAAAATAAGAAAATATAAAAGAAAATAGGTCGCTTTTTCTGGCCATGAAACTCTTTCATCGGAGTTTAACAAAGAAGAGAGAACAATCGTCAAATGAAAGGTCCTGTTTCTAAATAACTCGTCACGTCTTCCGTCGAGCTTGCATCAATTCAGGCCACCTTTCATCTAATGACCGCTTACATGCCTCTCTACTTTTGAAAAAAATATCAAATATATATGATGGTCAAGGAATGGACCTTACTTGAACATGTTCGTGATTCTGAATTCAGTTTTTATGTGATTAGTCTGTCGAGTGTGATTGCTACTCTTAGAATTGAGCTAGAAATTATGCAAAGAATCAAGACTCAGCAACAAACAAATGTTGAAATTTCAAAAAATTCGAGGAGAAGCTTTAGAAGGAAAAATGCCAAACTTTCAAGCGTCTAAGGGTGGAGTCCTAAGATTTCATGGACGTCTTTAAACTGCATTGGAGACTAAACTTTAACATAGTACCGTTTTCCATCTTCAACTTGATGGTCAATCAGAAAAAAACTACACAAACATTGGAGGATATGTTCCGAGCATGCGTGATCGACTTGAAAGGCAATTGGGATCATCACTTGGATCTAGTAGAGTTCACTTATAATAACAGCTTTCAATATAGTATTGGCATGGCTCCTTTTGACGCATTGTATGGTAGAACTTTTAGGACTCCTGTATGCTGGAGTGAAGTGGGAGAAAGAAAGGTTATGGGGCTGGAGTTAGTGTGAATTACTTTCGATGCAATAAAAGTGACTTGTGATCAACTTAAAACTGCTTAAAACGTAATAAAAGTTATGCAGATAAACACCGAAAACCATTGGAGTTTTTAGTTGGTGATCATGTGTTCCTTAATGTGTCGGCAATGAAAGGTGTGTCGTGATTGAAAAGAAAGGCAAGTTGAGTTCATAATTTATTGGACCTTTTGAAATTCTCGAGAAAATTGGTGATTGAGCCTATAGATTAGATTACCACCAAGACTTTCCAATGTTCATGATGTCATTCATGTGTCCATGTTGGGGAAGTATAAACTGGATCCCACACATGTATTGGATTTTGAAACAATTGAGATAGATGAGAGAGACTTATATAGAAAAGCCAGTGCAAATTTTGGATCGACCACACAATGAACCCGTTGAACCAAATTATAGCCGAATTTGGCCTTTGCTTGCAAAAGTAAGAATTGGTTGGTTCAATCAACGGGTTCTAAGTCACGCTTGATAGTTGATTGATAGAAATGGATGCTCCCGCATCAACATGCGATCCAAAGAACGATCGAAATCCATAAACATAACATGGAATTAACCAAATTACTACAAGAAAACAGTATTAAGGCGACGAAATTATCCGGCTACAAGAATAGCTCCGTCACTATAGATAGCCTACAGAGGAGAATAGAGTTTCGTCGTCATAGGCCATTGCTTGCAGCAATCCTTATTTTTATTGGTTAATTAAGATTAATTTAGCTTCTTCTTTCGGTTAAGGTAAGTGAATAGTTTCAATGGATTTGTAGATATATAAGTAAATCTTTGCATGAAAATAAAGATTTAACAGCATTGGATAATAAGACAAACTTTGATATCAAGAATAGCTCCGTCACTATAGATAGCCTACACAGGAGAAATAGAGTTTCGTCGTCATAGGCCATTGCTTGCAGCAATCTTTATTGTTATTGGTTAATTAAGATTAATTTAGCTTCTTCTTTCGGTTAAGGTAAGTGAATAGTTTCAATGGATTTGTAGATATATATGTAAATCTTTGCATGAAAATAAAGATTTAACAGCATTGGATAATAAGACAAACTTTGATATGTGTAGAGTGGAACTAATCTCATCGCTTATCCACCCATCGGTGGCCGCGTTGGTTGCGCTCGTTCCTTTCACGAGAGGTCCGGGTTCAAACTCGCCCATCGGTGATTTAAGTGGAGGGTCGTGGCGGTGGGATGCTGCGTTAGCCCCTCGAGGACTAGTCGGGCATCACCGTGGTTTGAGCCCTAGCTCGGGCCGCGCGCGGACACCTCGGTTATAAAAAAAAAAAAGCTAATCTCATCGCTTAGTCACGTGTCATTTCATTTAATTGGGAAACGCATGGCCAATCATTATCCACGTGTCACTGTTACATGGATTTTTTGTAAGGTTGTTAGTCACCAAAAATTTCAATGATTTCGATTAGTGATTACAATCCACTCGAGAATGATGACGGCCAATTGACTTGTCAAATTAGATTTCTTGAAGCATATAGGACTTTGCAAAATTTAAATTACTAAATAATGCACAAAATATGATTGAAAACAGGAGATGATTGGAGTGCGCAGGGAAAGTAAAATATACTTACAAAACACGACTAGAAAACTTTTATAAACAAAGATGAGCTCTGAAATTACGAAACGTAATATACTACAAAATTCAAATTTAAACTTAGGCAAAATCTAATCTAAATTAATCCGTTACGAATGATCCTCTCATCTTCATAACTTTAGTGTCGAAGTCCGATGTGCCGTTGTCGTCGTTTGTGATGTCTTGATTGCTCGTGATTTTGTGTGGATATATGTATTGGATGCATGCCCACTTTGATTCTTTCTGTATGTTTAAATGGGCTATTCCGTCATGCGTTCTGATCTTCATTCGCAAGAATCTTTAACTATTTTACGGCTATTCTAGGGATTTTGTAACTACTCTCGATTCCTTAGCTACGGTCATGCTACAAAACCCGGAAGATGAAAATGTGTCTCTGAGTTTCTTTGCCAAGATTGAAGAATATGTGTGAAATAGGTGGACGTTGGAACACCTGGAGGATCAATCCAGACACGCAAAAGGTGTCGGTGCTACTGGAGGCACAGGGTCGGGCACCCGAGCTGCGCCTATTGGCCTTTGAATGGCCCGTGGCTCGTGTGCATGTGGTGGTGCTTTGCTAGCGAGAGCCGGGCCCAAGCAGGTGCTCGGCCGTCCTGGCCAAGCTCCCAACGACGTTGCGAACTGATTGTGCACGTTGCGAACTGATTGTGCTCGTGTTCGAAAGCGGCATGCTTTCAACCTAATTTGAGGAACTGCACATTTTGGCCTTCAAAGTTAGTGTTCATGATTTCTCTT